CCCCAAAACCCCAAAACCCCAAAACCCCAAAACCCCTGTTTGAGAAAGAGAAATTGAAAATAAAAATTTAAAAATGGATGATTATGAATTTGATTTCGAATTTGAAAAAGAAAGGTAAACTTATAAACCAATATTTTACTACATAAAACAAATTTCAAAACTTCTAAACTTACTCTTCTCTAGCATTTGTAAAGAAAATCCACATAATCTCAAAAACACCGAAAACAATCTTCCAAGCCACGAAACTAGCAAAATAACCGATAAAGACCAAATCGTCGAAATCATCCACTCTAGTAATCATTTTAAAAATGCCCAAATTCCCTCAATCCCCAAAATCCCCCACTTTCTCACATCCCTAAGTCCTAAACCTCCAATTTCCCTTCCTTCTTTATCCACTTTTGTTCAATTGCAACCAGTCCTTTGTCTTAGAAGTCAGAGTAGCTTATTAGGAGTTTTTGGAGAGAGATTTGGAAAGGGATTTTAGTTAATGGAGTGGGATGTTAAATAAAGTAGGACAAGCCAGTGATGAAGACCCCTCAGCTCGCTCAAAAACCAGTCAACAGTACGAAGATGACTTTGAAGAGGACTATGGTGAAGATTTTGAAGGTAGAACATAAAATTAGTTTTAGATGAGTCTTGTAGCCTCACAAGTGGAGCCAAGAGAGATAAAGAGCCTAGGGAAAAGAAGGAGGCAAGTAAAGAATGAAAACTGGAGGAGAAGAAAGTGGATAGTGTGGATAAGGTGAGAGAAGATGATTTGGAGAGTAACTTTCAGGAAAAGATTGATTGCTTAACGAAGAAATCAGATTCACCTCTTAAAAGTTCTCAGAATAACATTCATCAAACTACCCCTAAAATATCTAAATGCTCACCAAACCCCTCTCTAAAACCCCAAAATCCCTCAAATCCACCTCCCGCTGATCCCTCATCCCAACCTTCCCACCACCCAAACCCATCCCAACCCCCCATTCTCCAAACCTCAAACCCCTCATACATAACCTCCAACTCCAAATCCCCTCCCCAAAGACCCATATCCCCCAAAAAATCCCTCAACCCCCAAAACCCTTCTTCCAACCCAGCCCCTAATCTTCCCCAAAACCCCCACTCCGACGTCAATATAGCCAATTTCCCTTCGTACCATAAAATACAGTAAGAAAGTACCTAACCTATGTAGGAACATACTTGAGAAATTAGAACATAAGTTACAGCCCAAGGAGAGGTTAGAGTAGGTTTTAGTCATGGATTTGTGTGCGAGATTTAGTGTTATACAAGAAGCACACAGAAGAGATTCTTTAGAAAGCGTGCATATCTGTGATAGCGAGAAGGATGAGAGAGATCAAGACAGATCTAGACAGCCACAGATTGGATTTTCAGGGGTTACTTCGAAGACAGAAGATTTGACAGAGAAGGAAAATAGAAGAGAGAGTAAGGATAGTGGCATACACCAGTCAAAGTCAAATGTTTTGAAACCTATGAATGAGATTTCAGCTGATAGAGTTAGGAAAGGGCATAAGGCCTTTCTTGCTGGCTTCAAAAATGTATTTGAGCATAAAGCAAAGGAGCAGAGCATTGTCTCTTCTGACCAAATTTCCCAACCAAATCAAGAGAGTAGGATAAAAATACAAGCCAACCCTGTTCCACCTCATAAAATAATAGTGCACAGGAGTAAATTTTTAATAATTTTCAGGACGGACGAAGAAGAAAATAAAAGTGAATAAATCCTTACAAAGGCCAGTTATAAAAATCTGTATGCTATTTAATAACCCTGTTAGCCAAGAGACATGTGAGTGCTAGGCCAAAGACAAGCCGAGTCAATAATAATATGAATACTTTGTTGTACAAAATGTTTGAGAAATACTCAGGTATTTCCAAGATCTCAGTTTTTATAGGCAAAATTCCAGAACAGTTTAAAAGAAAAATGCAGAGATATAAGCGTCATACTACTAGACTGTAAGTTTAACCTGCTGATGATATTTAGAAAGACAGCTAGGAGGACTTATAAGAAGATATGCCAGAAACAGAACTTTGTGACAAGCTCTCTTACATCCCAAATTGTTAAGCCTCATATCTTTGGAAAAAGAGTTTTTAATAAAGTTAAAAAGAAAATGAAAGAAGCTAAATTTAATACAATCGAAGTTTATCAAGACCAAGAAAATGAATCACAGAAGGAGTATGGTCAATTAAGAGAAGGAGAAGGTAGTGTCTTTATTGATATTTTAGCTACATACCGGTCAAGACCTTTTGAGTACTCTAAAGAATTCTCAAATGCTTTATCAAATATTGAAAAATTTGCTATGTATGAACAGAATACAAAATCTCAAAATAAGATCAGCCCAAGTAAGCTTGAGAATAATCTATTTTAGAGCCGTTGAAGTTTTCTGATATTCCCTGAGAAGAATATTTTCCCAACAGGGTACACAAATCAACTATAAGAAGAAACCAGATCTCTAAAGTGTATCAAACAATGAGGACATATTCTTAAGGTTTCAATTTACAATAATTGCACAGGGGTTTTGGGGTTTTGGGGTTTTGGGGTTTTGGGGTTTTGGGG